GTGGATGCCCAGGGGGGCTGCGGTGTCTGTGGCCTTCGGGGATGTGCCCCGGCTGCCTTGGTTTGGGGTCCTGCATTGCTCCCTCCCCACGGGGCTCTGCAGCTGCTGCCTCCATCAGCCCCTCTTCTCTGCCCCACTCGGCTGCTTTTGGAGGGAAATTCATTTTTAAGGAGTTTTTGTTTCCCCAGCATGTCACACGTGGCAGGCTCGGTGACCTCAGGTGTGGCGGGGACCCAGCCGGGCCGGGTGGGAGGTGGCAGCAGGACCCCGGGCTGGGGCGTGGGGGGACACAGGGCCAGGGGACACATCCAGCCCGTGAGATGTTCCACAGGGAAAGGGACCTGGGGCTGTGGATGGACTGGCAGTGCTGGGGAAACAAAAAACCCTTAAAAATGAATTTCCTCCCCAAAACCAGCGGAGTGGGGGAGGGAAGAGGGGGTGACTGGCAGTGCTGGGGACACCGTCCTGCTCTGGGGGGTGACAGAGGGGACAGAGCCAGCCCTGGGGTGCTGGGGCGGTGCTGGGGACACACCGTGTCCCTGTCCTGCTCTCAGGGTGACAGAGGGGACAGAGCCAGCCCTGGGGTGCTGGGGCAGTGCTGGGGACACACCGTGTCCCTGTCCTGCTCTCAGGGTGACAGAGGGGACAGAGCCAGCCCTGGGGTGCTGGGGCGGTGCTGGGGACACACCCTGTCCCTGTCCTGCTCTCAGGGTGACGGAGGGGACAGAGCCAGCCCTGGGGTGCTGGGGACACACCGTGTCCCTGTCCTGCCCCATGGGGTGACAGCCCAGGGCCCATTCCTTCCCTCTGGAGCCATGGGGGACACCAGGACCTTTGTGTCCCTCGCCTGTGCTGGCACCCTGCAGCTCCTCGTCACTGCTCCAGTGCTGGGATGTCCCTGCCCTGGGCACAGCTCGGGATCAGCCTGGGCCCGCCGTGCCTCAGTTTCCCTCCGGTGCCCCCGGCTCCGGGGGTGACTCGGGGGCATCTCCGCTGCCTGCCCCGGGCGCTCGGGCCCGTTGTCCTTAAAAAGGCAGCCGGGAGTGCGGAGCCCTGGCTGGCCTCTCCGGGGCCGGGGGCCGCGGGCTGGGGGTGGTCCCGGGACCCCCGGGGGCTCCGAGCTCGTCCCCCTCCCAAACCAGGCTCGGCTTTTGAGCCCGGCTCGCCCTGAGCGCGGGGTCGGGATTCGGACCTGCGAGCCCAGGCCGAGGATTTGGGGCAAAAGCCCAAAAATGGGGGCGGAGAGAGAAAGCCACGGGGGAGGCAGCGCAGGAGCGGCGGGGCCGGGGCCGGGAGGAGCCGCGGGGCGGCTCAGCCGCGTCCCGCTGCCGGCTGCGGTGTCCCC